TATAACTCCTGTATGATCCTAGTGCCAGCAATCAGGTAACTGCTTCAGTTAGGTATTTTTTTAAAAAAATCAGAATGTGTTAACTAGTTCCAATTCACAAGCACAATTAAGATGGAAACATACTATAGTGACCACCATAGCCCAATAACCTCTCTAAAATAGTTCCTGCCAAACGGAAATACATTTCCCAGAAACATTTGTAGAAATGTATACAAGAATGAGTCCTAAAATCAACAGGATTTAGTATATAATGAACAATAACACTGTTTGGACCCTTATAGTTCATTGAATGCAAAATTGGAAATTCAAATTTAAACAACTAAGATATATCATATAGGCCATTCATTCTATGAACTGGATACCACCAACATTCATCAAATCGAATTATACAGTATATTGAAAAGAGAGGTGTGAATGGAAATCTCTGTACAGTGGTGACATCCCTTCATTGTGCAGCATTGTGACGGGTGTTACCATGTACTCATCCATCATTGTAATGTGTCATTGCTACCTTCGTGTGTACCATTGGGAATTCATAATTTTCCTTTGATGCGTTGAGATGAACAAAGAAATTACTTTCCGAAACTGCAGTAGGAATGAGGAGAGTTAGTAACCTTGTTTGTGTCTTGGAAATTCTGTGTCGTTTCTTTAATGCTAATAAAGCACATTCACTCCAGTTTGGCCATCCTAAATGTGAAGCCTTAAGCAAACTCTCTTGGTTTTCTTGAACAAATCAATAGCAATGTTACTCTTTACAAAGTTGCAGTCAGCATTTTCCAATCCATTGCTGGATGAGTTATTTGGTCCAGTAAGTACACCAAATCAGATTTAACGTGATCAAGCGAATCATGGTGTCTCACTTGCACTAAAAATCCTGAACCAGATCTGAGTGTTCAATGAAAATTCCTAAAACTCAGAAAGTGAAAGAAAAAGCTGAAACCTTCATGGAAAGTCAAACAAACCCCTTCGTGTTCCTAATCATTAGCAAATCTGTATAATAATGGGAAATTAATGGAACTAGCAAAGGCAATTAACCAGCTATTTTAATTAGCATTTAAATCACTAACATGTAATGACTGGTATAATGACCAGAACTTGTTCAAATTCCTGTAAAGTAATCAGTTTGTAAATTGGATACTATAACCAAACCTTCAGCTGAGATACTAAATTGGCTTTGACACGATTGTGTTGGCTTGGTAAGTGGTTCTGTGAATTATATAATTCTTTACAATCTGTTTTGGAAAGCAGAAATGCTTGTTCCATTCCCAAAATGAATCGACCAAAATTGATAAGCATCCTCCAGGTGGAAATATAATGCCAATCGATAATGAAGATCATTAAGAAGATGGTCGTATAGTCCCACTACGTAATAGATTCATGTTAACCGCTTCAACAGGGAATGAGAAACTCAAGGCTAGAAAGAAAGACATGGGCATCAAAAATACCAAAGAATAGGGTGTCAGGTTAGAATTGCAATCCCCAGCACTTCTAAGGGATGTGACATTCACAAACGATATGTTCTGTTTGTTACAGGAGCTGAAAATGTATGGTTGTTCATCGGAATATTACCAACACCACTTGGATCCACGTCAGTTTTGCATCAAAACGAAAGTATTCGCTGCCTGTGTCTCGGTTGAAATGGTGCACCCATGTGTTGCCAATTATACATTTCCAAGGTTAACTTGAAAAGCTTAAAGTAAAGTTTTCCTTAAAATTGATCATCCTACGTTAATTAACACGCCTGTTAACTGTAACATCCATCTTGTTGTTTGATTTTATTAATTGGTGTTCAATCCACGTTTTAAGGCTGAAGGACAGATAATGAAAACATGATTTTCTCCAAAGGATTTTGCAATCCTTTGGAAATTCCATCAGAAATTCCATCAGGAATCCCATTGAGACGCTGCTGGTTGACCATTACACCCGATGTCCATTATATATGATGAACCTGAAACTTGTGAACTACTGTACTTTCTTTTATATGTTTCAAACTGTTAGGGATTATATAATGGGGTGATTGTAGATTTTATTACACAATTAATTCACAGATTCGTAACCACATAGGTTAAGTAAATGAAAACGTTTCCCTTTCTTAAACTTACGTGGCGTGAACTTCATAGTCAACTTGCATTAGTCAATCGACCGGGTTCTTTATTTCCAGTAATGAGAATTAGCAACAACTTGCAGGTTATTTTTAGATGGAAATGTACACCTATATCATTCAGTGTCTTGGGACGGGTTGGTATGTTTCAGAAGGAGCCCATATTTATTTACAAATAAGGGGGTCCACGTTTAAAATACAGTTGCCAATGCACTTGCCACCATGATGTTTCATATTAATTTCCAAAAATGTAATTATCCTGTAGCTATGCTACAGAGATCCACGGTTATTTGTGGATGGTTTGCAACCATGGAATAAACATTTCAGGGAATTGGGGGGGGGGGGGGGGGGGGGGGGAAACACGCCCATAAATTAAATTAGGTAATTAATCCACCACTTGTTATACCATACCTTTCACATCCACAAGTGGATCGTGTCGATAACATTTTTTTTTAAAAAATCCGACTTGAATACTCCAGGCTCTTATGAACTTTTCTGCGTTGAAAACTATCCGCCATGAGTGTGCTTTATGTGTCCTTGTCTATTTTTGGCAAATTACTACGGCTCCTGGCTTTTTTTGTTGGGTGCAAACATAACCTTTTTAGCAGCGCACCGTGGGGTGGGTTATCACTGATGGCATCGTGCACTATCCCGAAGGTTTAAGGAGAATCGAGACCACAAGAACACCGAGTGAGAGTGGTTTTGGGTGAAGGCAGAATGTATGGGTCAGGTGGGGACACCGGTGTTGTATGCAAAGATCTCTGTGGATCGGTGACAGGTCAGCACAGGGCTTTGCACTCAGAAAGAAAACACAAAACGACGAAATAACATGTTCTGGGAGAAGTACTTTTAGTATCTGCAAATCAAAGAGCCAATCCCAATTTAACCATAACCCGACTCGTAGCGATTCACATCTCGGTATTCTGTTCAAAACAAGTCGCCTCCTGACTGCAATAATCCCTCCCCCCCCCCCCCCCCCCCCGTCCAGTTCTGAACTTGGCAGAGGAAGGAATTAAGCGTTTGATGATATTTACGCACTCCCTCTCGGACTGAGTGTAAACATTCAGATCGATTGTCGTAAATTGCAAGATTGCGTATTCTTTCTTAGCAATGAATACCCGTTGGGCGGTGTGACAATAGTTCCACTTTTTAAGTCAGCGGTGAATAGCCTTTTATGGGCATTTTGTGGCTGGGGAATTTTGAGTGTTGATGCGTTCGTGTTCAGGGGGCGGCGAGGCCAGTCTGCGCCTTTTCGGATACGAGGATGTCTCTCTCTCTCTCTCTCTCTGTCTCTCACGTAGCTCGACTGAAACCAATTCGGTTTCTAATTTGAACGCGATGTATTTTCGTCCTTCGGTTTGGGAGTCTCGACAGACAGACAGACAGACAGACAGACAGACGCACGGACACCTCTCCTATTAAACAACTCCCCACGTTTCATACCAACCGCGTTACCTTCATCGTTCGTGGCAACTTAGCAACGCTCTCCGCTTGTTCGCAACTCTCTCGCTAATTGTGCAGCGACCGAGCGGGTGGATGCGAATTGGGCATATATATATATATATATATTATATCTTCCCTCCTTTCCCCGTGTGTTAGCTTTGACACGTTAAACCTTTGGGCGCCCACAAGCCAAACTTCTGTTGCTGCCGTATTGTGCTCTGGAGATTTGCAGAGCACTGACTCGAGTGTTGGCAAAGGGACAATTTGGATACTGGCAGGACCCCCACTCGCAAGGGCCATAAGCTCTTTATGGAATGAAGACGGGATGAAGATGGGATGTCCGCCCGTTCCACCGAATCTCTGATGCACCGGGGAAAAAACCCCATCGTATATGAGTCACCGAAGCAAAATTAGCCCATCGACTAATACCCTGACCACCACGCAATAATCATTAATATTGCTAATGGGCTTCCATCGCATATGCCCCCACCCACCCCCTCCCCTCTCTTTCCCAAACGTGTGAACCGACAAAACAAATCCGACGCAGTAGTTTCATTTCTGCTTTCACTGCAACATGCCCTCCTAAATGAAGAAGGATAATATCAGGGGGCTTGAGGGGCGGGGGGGAGGGAGGGGGTGCATTCTGTGGATGGGTGGGGAAATAGCGAGGAGCTTTGATGCATGGCAGAAAATACAAGAAGGGTTTCTCAAAGAACGCAAGACATTTCCAGCCCGATGCAGAGCCAATTAGAAGAGGACACGAAAGACATTTTGCACATCGCAGTGGAACAAAAACTGAGAGAGCCGAGGGATTTACATTGTTTAGATGCAATGCAATAGTCACTAGAGGGGAGGTGGTGGGGTGTGTGTGTGTGGGGGGGGGTGGAGAGAGAGAGAGAGAGAGAGAGAGGGAGAGGGAGAGGGGGGGTGGAGAGAGAGAGAGAGAGAGGACTGAAAGCTGGTGCTGACATTCATATCGATCTTTCTTTCGTAATTTGGAACATTATATATATATTCTTTTGCCGTTACCATACAAGGCAGCTCCTTGCCCGTATTTGGTGCTTTGGAGAGATTCTCGGACCCCGGGCGGGGCTGTGCTGTTGCTGATTGACAGAGCGGCTCTCAGGGCTCCTGACGCCACGTTGTGTTGTGACGTTTTGTTGCTGCGTTAATTTTTTTTTCGCGTTGTCGGCTCTCTGCAGCAGAGAGAGAGAGAGAGAGGGAGGGAGGGAGAGCGAGAGAGAGAGAGAGGGAGGAAGAGAGAGAGAGAGTGAGTGAGTGAGTGAAGAGCAAACGAGAGAGAGAGAGAGAGGGGAGGAGAGAGAGAGAGAGACTGCACACACATACATACACACACACCACACTCATCAGTGATTACTCAACTCAGATCCAGGGGACAGAAAAAAATCCAGCCAAATAAAAAGAGAGAAAAATATCACAGGGTGGTGCTGCTGCTGCTGCTGGTGGTGGTGGTGGTGGTGAGGGGTGTGTGTGTGTGTGTGTTGGAGAAAGAACAGTCGAGACGTTACAGAGCAACGGAGAGGGGTAAGGTAGCAGAGTAACGAGCAGAGAAATTCTCTCCAGCAGCTGGAAGGGAGGGAGAGGGAGGGAGGGAGGGAGAGTCGGGCTCGATCCAAGCTCAGCTCCTCGTATCGACATGGAGTTTTCAGCCGCAGGGGAGCATGTATTTGCCGTGGAGAGCATCGTGAAAAAGCGGATCAGAAAGGTAAACTGCAACCATCTGCCCCTGCCATCGAGCCTGCATTCAACTGCCTGCCCTCTTAATTCCGCCACATTATCGATCAACTTAAAAATACACCCACACATACACACACACACACACAAGCCCTGTCTCTTCTCTTCTCTTCTCCCTCCTCCCTCCCTCTCTCTCTCTCTCTCCCTCTCTCCCCGGCGCTGATTATCTGCTCTTGTGTTATTTTCTCCACAGGGGAGAGTCGAATACCTGGTGAAATGGAGGGGTTGGTCTTCCAAGTGAGTCTTGTGTTTTTTTTGGAACAAAAAAAGAGAGAGACAGAGACGGAGAGAAAAGAGTGTGTGTGGGGGGTGGGGGGGGGGTGGGGGTGACAGAAAAAAAAATGATTGTGTGCATTAGGAGAAGGGGGAGGAAACGAATCGTGTCCAATTGATCGTCGATAATTTTCGTTATTCTTGTAGATGCCATCAGTGGTGGGAGGAAGGAGGGGGTGAGTGGTGGGGAGTTGTTTGAGGATGAGCTCGGAGTGGGGGGGGTTTGTGCAAGAAAATAAAATGACCCAAACGTCAGTTCGTCCTGGAATGTCTTTAATGGACTGTTGAAACAGATATGATAGTGCGTTGAATGGAGTGAAAATGGCTTCCCCCTTGTACAGTGTTTGAACAGCGAGTGTACTTGTTGGTTTTATTTTTTTTTCCGCTCGTGAATTTCTCTCAGAGGTTTTTGACTGAAGCCCTAATCTGTCTCGACTTCTCTGCAGATACAACACGTGGGAACCCGAAAAGAACATCTTGGATCCCAGACTTCTCTTGGCCTTCCAGCACAGGTGATTGATTGATTGATTGACTGATCGATTGATTGATTGATTGATTGATTGGTTAATTGATTCATTGGGGGGGGGGGAATGCCGGGAGGGTGCGTGTGTGTGGGGGTGGGTGGAAGATTGCAAATTATTTAGCTGCTCTTTTCCCCACACAACCCCCCTCTCGAAAAAAAACACTCGCCTCTGAAATAGAGAGAGAGAGAGAGAGTCGAAAGCTTTGGAAAGCAAAAATAACAGGTTGCTGATTTTTTTTTTGCAATGGAAACCAGAGGACGTTTCGATCCAGATGTGTCAGGAATAATTCGCCGTGCCAGGGAATAAATAATACGGCTCTCTGGTTTTTTTTTCCCCCCAGGAGGCGTAAGAATAGCGACATATCATCTTTTTTTTTTGTAGGGAGAAAAGGGGAGTATTTGAAACATTAAAGGGCGGGGGGGGGGGGTGAGGATCCAGGCCGTGTTGTGTTAGCGAATTGAGCATGTTCCAGTTTAGAAGGGACTTTCGCCATTATCCGGGAAGCATTGGGCGAGAAGTGGATCGTGGAATCGATGCTGAGAACCCAAGTGCTTTTTTTTTTCTTTCCTTCACATATTTTTTTTTGGGGGGGGGGGGGTAAAAAAAAATATCTACGTGCAGTGTAACAATCACTGCAGGGGGGGAAAAAAAAAGCAAACGCAAGTGCTGCCGGTGTGATGTCTCAGTCTTGTAGCTAGATGGTGCATTTATCTCTGAAATGAGACTTACTGTGTTGGACGCTCAAGTCTCAAGGTTGTCAGATCACTGATCGTGTGTCCAACGCTGCGGTGAGTTATCCATCGCGACTCCTTTCAGTCCAGTACTACTCTCTGGCCATTCACCTGCTGATGGGAAGGTGTGTGTCTGTGTGTGTTTTTTTTAATTAAAACAAAGGTGGGGAGTTCTTATATATAATTCTGTGTGTGTGTGTAAAGTGTGAGGGTTGAAAGATAAGGAAGGACACACGTATTATCCCTTTTAATTAGCAGAGCAGTAATCGATCTGACTGGGTGGCTGGGAGTTTGCCTGAGGTTTGCCACAGCAGCCTTTGCAAACCGTGCCAAACAAATCCGGTGGACTGGCTTGGTGTGTTCAAACCCGGGGCGGGGAAGGCACCCAAAGTTGCTTTGGATCGCCATCAAAACGAGAAAGAATGGGTTTTCGCTCCCAACGAAAACGAGGGCAAAATATATATTTTTTTAAAAAAAAATAGGAACAAAATGAGGGAGACTACGGCAATATGCGTTGAAGGCTTAGATGTCGAGCTGTCTGTTACTGTCATCCATTAAATATAATTAAGCCATGTAGTAACGCCTGGAGAATGGGTAGGAATTACACACACATATAGCATCTCCGTTGGACCTACTGGGCTCATTTATTTATTCCAACTGCCTTTCGCGTACTCGATTGCGACTGAGTTATCTCGATGGCGAGGGATGGACTGCAATGAGTATTTATTTGCAAGTCCTGTACCTCTGCGTGGCCTATGAGGTGTGTGAAAGCAGGCGTTTGATTTGATCAAAGTCTCCCCAATACGCATGTTGTTGCAAACACCAGCAGCTTAAAATGATGACAAGTTCAGTATCCGACGGGAAATATCCAATGGATTTGGGGTTGCACAGTCGTTCATCAAAGAAAAAAGCGAGTGAGGCAAGAATGTTACCGAAAAAAGGGGGGGGCAAAGCAAATATGTTTTTATCAGCCAGAGAAAGGGACTAAGGAAGAAACGGTCTTAGATCGTTCCAAGGTGTGACTGGATTTTGTGCTGTCCAGGTCTGCTGTGTTCCTGGGGTAGCAACTGGGAAATGTAATGGGCAGCAAAGTGCAGTCTAATCACAAAATGTCTCTGGTTTGCTGACCCCAAAAAAAGAATAAACTCAATTCATTTTTGAATACTTCAATGGTTTTAGTGCTCAGTGCACTAGGTGGCACTCTATGCCATAGGTTGAATAGTCTATGTATGAGGAAGTTATTCCTTACTTAAAATTGAGGTGGTGGTTGACTCAATGCATTCTGATTCTATTTTCCCAAGATTGCACTAGAAAAACAGCATTTCTACGTTCTTCCTCATCAACTTCTTTCATCTCTTTACCTTTAGTTTCCCCATTAAGAATAGCTTTCACTCCCTTAGCCTAAATTAACATTTGATGTGTGGTCTCCATGGTACTTCATATTACCCCTGGATCTTTTTCGTTTGTCAGGATTGCACCTCCCAATAAAAAAAGAAACACAATATTTTAGTAATCTTCAAATAATGGACCTAAACTATGGTTTTAACATTTTAGCATCATTTCATTGACTGTTCAATGTCAGAACACAGATTTCCAATGATGCAATTGTATTTATTAAACCCAAACTGTGTTTCTCCATTGCTATATGTAGCTGTTATAGAATATGCATCACATACAATGCCATCTTCTTGTCTCTCTGGGGAAAGAGAAATACTTACCCCAATGGAATATTCATTTGTTAGGTATTTAATTCAAATGCATTGACTTTGATCTTAACCTTATATTGTCTTTGTTTGCAGGGAGAGGCAGGAACAATTAATGGGCTACCGAAAGCGAGGACCCAAACCTAAACACTTATTCGTTCAGGTAATGGCACCTGCCCCCACGTGATGACTGAGCTGCAGTAAATATAACACACAGTTGAGCAATCTGCTCGACGGTATTTATTTTCCAGCTGTCTATTTTGCAACTTGAGGTCAGTTTCATGAACTCGGATTCAACTTTGGGTGTCAGTTTACAAGCAGGAATTTTGCTAAATTATTACATGCCCTAAATACACACTGACAAAGACACTTATTTAATAGGTATGTTGTGTGTCGTACAAAAAGTATACAAATACCTAAATTTTAGGGGTATGAAAAAGTTAATACTAATACTGTAACTGTACTACATAATTTGTGTCAATTTGATGGGATTTCCAAATCAAATGAATGCTAAGTATGTAATTTAACTTGATGAGTGAATCCTACATCAGTTCAATGTGATGTGCTCCTTCTGAAACTACCTTCAAGAGCTGTGGAGGTGTTATTTTCTGTATTTGAGGAATCAAATAGACTAATAGTCAACTTTGATGATTGCAGGGGATTTTGGCAATAAATGTTAAATAATTAGATACTTTGTGGAAGTAATGACACATGGAGCAAAAGAGAATCGATGGGCTTCTCACTATGAGTTGTAAAGCTGGCTATAAAGCCAAACTGGAGGTAGAATAGGAGCAGCAAGTGGCCGGCTCAGCCTCTTATCTGAAGAAAGGAGAGAGGGAGGATTGGAACTTGTGTTGTTTGCCATCTATTGTGGAGGTAAAATTGATAGCAAGCTGTTGCTTTCTATTGCCCATATGTCTGGAGCTATAGAAACATTTGCTTAAAACTGGAACTGTGCATCCGAATAACACTGATTTGTTCTCCGTGTCCAGTTGCCAGCATTTGCTCGTCGCTCAAACATCCCATCAGAGCTACACGATGCTTCTGCTGAAGAGGACCGGTCAAAGAATGAGGGACAGCAGGCAACTAAGCACCACTACCAACTGAACAGTAAAAAGCTTCATCAGTACAAACCCTGCAACACGGAGGAACAACGACAGCATCAAGCAAGCAGCAAGCAGAAACATTACTATCAACTCAACAGCAAAAAACATCACCATTACCAGCCAGACATCATGTACCAGAGTCATCAGGCTGACCCGCACAGGAGCCATGTTGAGACCAATCATGAGCAGAGCCAAGATCAAGCTGATCAGGAACACAGTTTAACCAATAGCGGAAATCCAGCCACTGACAAGTCTGAGCTCAAAGGAATGGACTCTAATAACTCCACGCGTGGGCCTGAAACAGCCAAGGAAAGCGTGAATAACAATGGGATGAATGGCAGGATGAAAATAGTGAAGAACAAAAACAAGAATGGTAGGATTGTTATAGTCATGAGCAAATATATGGATAACGGGATACCTGCGGCTAAAGACAAACACAGTAAGAGCAGCAATGGAGGGAATGAGGTAGCGGAGAGGAGGAATGGCGATCGGGAGCTATGGATAGTGAAAAATGGACACGGTAAGGCTATAAGGGCAGAAGATAGTGTAGAGAAGGAAAAAAATAACATTACCAATGGGTGGCAAGAGACAAAGAACCGAAATTCTTCAACAGGGACAGAGACCAAAGAGGGTGGTTTCAATAGAACTGTGGTGGTTAAAGAAGCGATGGGAAATAAGAAGGCGGCTGTTAGAGAAAGTAGCCAGACAGCAAATGGGAAGGAAGAAAGGACTCTTAGAGATCGAGGAGCCGTGGTTCACCAACAATCTGAGCAGCCCAGTATAATCCAGTGGCCTTGTGATGTGGACGTTTCCAGCAGGGATGGCTTGTACTCCAGTTTTCCTCAGTCCAGGAAGCGTTACCTGTCGGAACCCAATGTGGATCGAGAGGCCAAGAAAGCGGCCACCTACCGAAGCATCAGCGTCCCCGGGAGTGCAGTGCAGCTGGAGCAAGGCGATTTGGCAGAGCTGCGGGCGGTCGATGGTTATCGGAATGAGGGAATCGATTGCCTTTTAGACTCCAATCCCGAGCAGCCGATCGATCTGAGCTGTGTGAAGCCCAAAGCAGTGCCCGAGAAGATGGACACGACAGCACATCAGCAACAGCAGCAACAACAGCAGCAGCAGCCGGAACAACAGCCAGAGACTGAGGAGAAAGATGAAACAAAGAGTGAGTCGCCTCAATGTGCATGGACTGGGTTTAAGCCTTACCTGGGGAATTTGATAATCACAGATGTGACAGCAAACTGTCTGACGGTGACGTTTAAGGAATACTTGACGGTGTGAAGGACTCAACGAGAATAACAAAATTAAAAGCTACAAACTCATTACAGAGTGAATGTACTTTGCAACCCAAATCTCAGATGTTTCCAACTGAACGCTATGCATATATATATATATGCAGAGTTATCCAGTAATAGAAACCTGCATATTTCAACAAGGAAAGCGGAAATGGGATCTGGGTACCGACTCGATGGACCTTCTGCAGACAACATTTCCAGAGAGAAGGAGGGGGGTGGGGGGAAAAGATTCCCTTTCATCTGGAATTTTTTTTTAAAAAAAATCTTTGTTTTTATTAAAAGTAATAATCTATCGTCATGACAACTTAAAATGACATTATAGATGTTTGACACGTCGTTTTTTGTTTTCATTTTTTTTAAAAAAATCCTACGTCAAATATAATTAATATTTGAGATAATAATCGATGTGCTATTTAAATGTGCAGATTCTATGTATCCCCTGGTCTCCCATACTCCCCCGAAGCTGCCGGGGCTTTGTGCTGCTAATTATAAAATTGTATTTTTTTGTGCTTGATTGTAAATATGTTGGGGGGAAAAAAAAAACGCCTTTAAAACGCACCGTGTGTTCATGATTGCAGTAGAGTTTAAGAGTCAATGAGATAACGCCAGAAGTGGTCACACTCTGTTTTGTATTTAAAGGACCCCATTTCTGACCTGGCACTGCTGAACCAGTTGGAGAGAGAGAGAGAAAAAAAAATACTCAAAAGAAAATCTCTTTGAAGCGAAACAAAACCGAGTCCAATTTTTAATTTGTCCTACAGCTTGAGTTACTGTCATTGTGAAGCTTTCCCTGACTCTGGTGCTATATTTTATGATGTGGCTGAGACTTTCGGACTATCTTTGAAATCTCGGTGCACATTTCTATTTGAAAGTAACATTTCTATTGAAAGCAAAAAATCCACCATCCCGAGTGTGTGTAGTAGCTGTGGTCATCATCAGCTCGTGTCATTTCCCGGAAACCACACCGTTTGATATGTGTGTCGCATTAAAACAAACTGTGCAGATTAAAAATAGTCCAAGAGGCAACTTCCTGTGACTAAGAGTGTGCAATGCTTAGACTGTATGTACATCAAAGTATTTTTGTGTGTGTGTGTGTGTGTGCGTGTGTGTGTCTCAGAACTGTTGCCTATGAATTTCTCCTCTTGGATCGTGTTAAGGAATGGCTGAGTGAGTGTTCCTCTGTCGGGCACTATTCCAAGACTATTCATTACAATAACGTGCTCACTCTCTTGCCAAAGCACACCGTAAAAAATAGGCAAACAAGGATTCTCTGCTAATCCCAACTCGCCATATTTAAAAGCCATCGCTCAAACAAACAGTCGCCCCAAATACCCACGTTGTCTTTTTTTTTAATATATATTAAAAAAAAGATACAACTTGGAACCCGGAATTAACTCAAGCAAATTGTGTGTGTGTGTGTGTGTGTGTTTGGGTGGGGGTAGTGAGACCTAAATTTTTTTAAAAAAAAAATAAAGCTATAAAATTGTAGCTCTTTGCGCTTAATAGTCATTCCAATTTTAGGTCAGTTGCACAGATTGAAACCAGGCGGTTATCTCTATTTCTGGGGGCCAATTTAAGGTAGAAGCGAGGTAAGTAAGTAAATACAGGCGCAAACGCCAAACGAGGACAGTAAATGCCTTTGACTTTTAATATTAGTGAATGTCAGACCGGGAGAGGACATGAGATACGGATTTAGTGCAAATAAATTGTGGTTTGACAGAAAAGCGGATGATCATTGCAGCGTATTGTAAGAGAACCATTTGCACCGTGGATACGTTCAGTCACATTTCAACGCGACATTCGTGAGGTTCAGGGGAACGTGGAGAGAAAAAAAACGCGTGTGTAAGTTAACGGAAGATACACATCCATATCGTTGCTCATTTGCATTCTTTTTTTAAAAAAAATCTTACACCCACCCACCAGATTATCCATTTGATAATCTCACACTGCTCTACTGACAGCGCTGATAGCAACCCCCAACACCAATGTACGCGTGCATTACCCACCTAATCCAACCAGATAGATTTGTGGTTGAATATACAAGAACTTGCATTGATATATCCCCCCCTCCCCCCCCCAACCCCCACCCCCCCCACCCCCGTAGCGCAGGATAGCGACCCAGAGCTCGTGAAACTCTACATTTCTGAGTGGATCGCCTTCCAACTCCGATATCCATCGTAGGAGAGTGTTAAAAACATATTCACATTTTTGAGCGCCTGAACACTGGGTCTGTCTGACCTGTAGGCAAAAAAAATTGTGCGTCTGGAAGTGGAGTTGACCACACACGTGTTGCCCATCGACAACAAAAGAACTTAAATGGTATCCGGTGTCGAGAGGATATCTGAATATCGCACATTTCATAGTAACGCTCAATTTTCTTTATATACATATAGGAAATATAGGTTCCCTGAGTTTTGCCGATGGGCTGTATATTCTGCTTCGACAAACACTGTACACCCCCAGCCATCGCACTCCATTGGAGTATGACACTGGAAATGTTCCCTAATATACTCTAAAGGGAATGGATTTCAACCATCTGAGGATGGTTCCTCGGATCACTCTATATATATATATATATATATATATATATAGTCTTGCGTTAGATGCCTTTTCAGCGGTGGTTGGTACTGTATTGGGAGCACAAATATCTTGCAATCATTGAAACAGCTTCATGGGCTGTTAAAGCCGATGCAAACATGTGGCTTTTTGGTTGGTGTTTGTGGTGTAGTGATGGGGGAACACTTTTGGTGAGGGCGGAATATTCTCGGTATTTTTTTATATGTATATTAGTTGTCGATATGACTGCGTGAAATCGTAATTTCCGCACAGATGAGAGGCACAGCGAATGATGAGTAAAACGCTGATCTGCAACTGGGAAACCATCAGGTCTATAAATACCTTAACTGAATGAGTGTTAGCCCTGGTAGCCCTGAATTGTACGGTAGGGACACAAAGCAGTACAAATTCCGAGCAATTAAACAGTGGCTGAGATGGATTTTTTTTTAAATCAGATTGATGAGATTTAAGTTCCAGCAAGGAGCACGACCCCAACATACATGTATGTATGTATGTATGTATGTATGTATGTATGTATGTATGTATGTATGTATGTATGTATGTATGTATGTATGTATGTATGTATGTATGTATGTATGTATGTATGTATGTATGTATGTATGTATGTATGTATGTATGTATGTATGTATGTATGTATGTATGTATGTATGTATGTAGGAGATCATGTCTATTTCATATACATACATATATAGCTATGAATCTTTTAATAAGACTCTCATATATCTAATAGGATAGTGCATGCAGGATATATCTAATAGTGGTGTATTGCACAACGTGAAAATTCGCAATGTCGTTTTTAATGCATTCCCGCCTCATTGAGTTATTTTTGGGGGGAACCACTGGAAAATAGAAATGAAAGGCGAAACGGCTGTCTTATGAATGCACCTGGTTGGACATTCGCGTTACCTGTAAAAAAGAGTCTTGGCAGAGACAGATGGCGAGAAAAAAAAACTCGACAAAAGGCAAAATAATCACTCACACTCGCGGGGCGTGTACTCGCTCGACTGTTTCTTAACAGAAAAGTTTTTTTTTTTGATTTTTTTAAAAAAAAAATCCGCATTTCACCTTTCTCCATCCGCTGAAACCAGCACGTTCGAAGGGTGGCAAATAAGGAACATTAAACCCGACCATTTTAACACATACACACACACACACACACATATATACATATATATATTGTATATATAGCCCTCAAATCAAGGAATGGGCGTTGTCTCTTTAAACCCTGTTTATTCATTTAGTCGGTGGTGACTGTTCACATGCGAATGCGACAATGTGTGTCAGCATCTGGGTTTTCTATTTGACATGTATACACAAAGCGGTTTGCACTGAGACGATTTCTAAATATAATTTCCCTGCACAGCACCCAAGCGAAAACATGTTGACTCGCCGACCGAAGAAGGGGTGTCGTTTATTCTGTTCGCACCCCCTTTTAAAACCTCTGCTCGGAGCCTTAACTGGAAAGACACGTCTAAAAACACACACACACACACACACTTTAGGGTGATCCCTTTGATCCCTTGATCAAGCGGAGAGGCGCTTGTGCGGCTTACGGTCACCAGGAACGTCAGTCAGTCAGTCAAACCGAGGGAGTCTTTGGAGTGCAAATGCTCATCTTACAATGTGGGTGTTGTAAGACCACATCGATAACTTGCTCCCTCCATCCCTCCCTCCCTCCCCACCTCCATCCCTCCCCTCCCCTCCCTCCATCCCTCCCTCCCCCCACCCTCCATCCCCCTCCCTCCATCCCTCCCTCCCTCCACGCGTGTGGCGGTCGGATTATCATGCGATGGGTTTGAGATCACCGCACCTGGCGGTTTCCAGCAGAAAATCCCGACACCGGTCATCCATCTCAGAATCGGTGTCTCCCGTTCTGATGTCGGGCACAGTTTTCGGGTCCTCAAACCCATGGCCCTGGCACATTGCAACAGCAGATGACTAACAGGGCGCAAACACACACACACACACACACACACTCACACCCCCACACACACGCCACAAACACTCACACAAGCTCTGCACCGCACTACAGTGCACAGCCGGCAAATGCCACAGAGGCGAGTCCAAAGCCAGAAGACTATTTGGGCAATAAGATAATATAAAACAGACAGACACCCACGACCAACCACGACCAACCCTCACTCGAATAGAGGCAGTGAAAAGCACTTGGGTCCAAACAGCCTGTTCTGTTAGGAAACACCACCACCGAATTGGACGTTGGGGGTCAAAAGGTTTCCTTTCCATCTTGGAGCCAAAGGTTGACATTGGTGCCTGCCCTTCTCCTTAGCCCTGGTCAAATGTGTCCCAAATAGCAGGCAGATATGTCGCCCCCTTCCCACCCAGTGTTAACATATGTTGCACCTCGATCTGTCTGTGAACCGATTACAGCATCACCAGGTGCCAGTTCATTCCATGTCTTTCACACTCTGGGTGGGATAACAGCTACAACTCACACTCATATAAGCCTTTCAGGTAGGATAGGGACTCAGAATGCTTTCCAGTGACTCAGTGGGACCATTCACAAGGGGGAGGGAGGGGAGGTGACCAGTTGTAGGGTGGAATATGAGCATTGCTAGACGAAAGAAGACCAAGGTCAATCTCATTTCGCCTTCCCCCATCCTGGCAGTGGTATGCACATGTCATGTTCCAAACTACAATATATACTGTATCCCGAGGTATTATTTCCTGAAAGAAATTATTTAATTTGCTTTTGAAAGCTACTTCCACCACCTTCACCTGGAGCCTCTTCCCGACATTTACTACTCGCTCACCGAGGTAGTGTGAGACAGGTGTTTGAACGATGTTCAACACAGCTCTGTTTGTGCCCTGTGAATTGCTTGAAATATGTGCTTTTTTTTTTCCTTCCTCCCATTGTAGGAAGTCGCCCAACGTGTGTCTTACCCTCAGATATTGCCACACCTTGCTGGTAAAGGCAATATGCTTTTTTCCTCCTTAAAACAAATAACAATGGAGCGGCTTCACTGAATAATATTCCAAGACTTACAATCCCCCCCCCCCCCCACCACCACCACCACCACCTCTTGCCCTCCCTCGCCCTCTGGTCTTTGCTCCAACATAATGCATGGATTTTTTTTTCCTCCAGAGTAAAAGCCAACCAACTGGGTGTGACTGTCAGACCGTTCCTCCAGCGTGGGCTGGATCGGTGCAACCGAGCCTCCTGTTACCTTCTTCTCTAAGAGTTTGATTTCTCAGAGCTGAAAATAACTCAATCCCCCCCCCCCCCACACACACACACACAAAAGTCCACAATCTGTTGCTCGGATTGCACCCTGTGCTCTCTCCTTGGCCGCCATATTTAGTTGTGCAGGTAATTCTCTGGCTGTGGTAGTGACTGGGAAGATATTTGCACCCACGCCTGGGTGTTGAGACGTCCACTGTGCAAATTCCGCCGCCGCACCATCGTTTTCCCTTTCCGCATCACTGTCAAC